CAGAGCCCACTTCAGATCCTCTGTCCTGTTCTCTCTCTCTACCTCTCCCCTACTTGCTGTTTCTCTCAAGATAAATAAACTTAAAAAAAAAATAAATGTTTATCATTTAGCCAAAGAAGATGTAATTATAGACCTATTACAATTTCCAAAACTGTATCTTCTCCTTCATTATTTTATATTGATTTATTGGTTAGGGGCCATGTGCAGACATTTTAGACATTCACTAATTTTACTAATAATAAGTTAAAACTTTCTCTTCAACGTAGTTTGTTTCTCAGGATGCATTTCACAAATCTTTACCTAGGTAAGGGAATTCCTGCTATTCCATATGGGGTATATTTCTTGATCCATTCCCAAAATCTAAAGAGTATAACTTATTTAAGATCTATAAATGCACTTAATATAATTATAAACTATACTCCTTGGTGCAAAAAAGGCAATAGAGAAACTAGTGTGTCTGTGTGTATCCCTCCTTCTCTCTCTCTCCCCTTCCCCCCCCCACCATACACCCCGACATTGGTATTTCATATGCAAAAAGTAAAAATAAGAAAAATCAAGGAGAATAAGGTTGAATTAATTAGAACATAAGGAAGATAAGTTAACCTAGAATACAGTTTGATCTGTAAAGCAGCATCCCTGACTCTCTCAAAAACCGTTCTTTTTAAGTTCATTTATTTATTTTGAAAAAGAGAGAAAGCACCAGCATGGGAGGGACAGAGAGGAGAGGGAGAGAGAGAAACCCAAGCAGGCCCTGAGCTGTCAGCACAGAGCCTGATGCAGGGCTCTATCCCACCAACCATGAGATCATGACCTGAGCTAAAGTTAAGAGTTGGATGCTTAACGAACTGAACCACCCAGGTGCCCCCCTCAAAAGCCATTCTTAATATCATTTAAGCAATTTTATAAACAGATACAAAATTCCTCATAAAACTATACACTTCTAAAACATAATGAATTTTGTTTCAATAAACACATTTCTTTTGTAGGAAAAGAAAATATTTTAATTTTTACAAAGAATATATGGTTTCCTTTTTGAAATTTTATTGATGTGAAATGTAAAATTTCAAAAACCCACTTTAGCAGTTGTTTTAATACTGGATTTCAATTTAATACATTGATTTGAAGACTTTTGCAAACACTATCAATTTAAAATATCTGAAAGGGTTACAGGATATCTCTTAACGACCCATATACGATAAGCTTATTTTTTAAAGACTTTACTTTTAAGTAATCTCTACACCCAACATGGGGCTTGAACTCACAACGCCGAGATCAAGGGTTGCATGCTCTACTGCCTGAACCAGCCAGGTGCCCCATAAGCTTATTTTTAAGTAAAAATCATGTTCTGTTGTTTACTGATAGTAATTATAACACAGGCTTTTTCAGTGAAACTGTAAACATTAACCATGGACACTATTTATGAGTTTTTGACTCATCAATAAATTAATACATCAATAAAAATAACTAAATATCCAAGTTCTTATTGAGTACACTTTAATTACTATCATTACTACATGTCAGACATGAAATCTTCATTAATGGGTATGTGTCTTTGTGAAAGAGAGCGAGAGAGAGATGCAAAACAACAGAAAAGAAATTACACCATTCCATTTCTTATTCCTTGTAAAGTCTACATATGACAGTGCATATAAAAAAGTATAACTATAATAAAGATTTCTGTATGATTCTATACAACCTAAGTAGTGTTAAAACAAGGTGACTAAATACATAATCATTGGAAACAGAAATTTGGTTTATCCATTATCAAGAGACAGAGAAAGAGCATGAGCACGGGAGGGGTAGAGAGAGGGGGAGACACAGAATCTGAAGCAGGCTCCAGTCTCTGAGCTGTCAGCACAGAGCCGATGCAGGGCTCAAACTCACAGACCACAAGATCATTAGCCTGAGCCAAAGTCGGATGCTTAACCCACTGAGCCACCCAGGCGCCACCAATTAACATTTGAGTGAGCTTGGACAAGTTATATCACACTATGGCCCTTAGATACCTCTTCTATAAAGCAGAGGTGAAAATCTTAAAAGCATCCACTTCCCAGGGCTGTTGTATGGATTTCATGATATCTAACCTATGATCTAGGACCTGACCTGTGTTAATAGCTGTTGACCTCATGCTTCCTGTATGTGTCCAAGCTTTGATTTGCATAACATCACCTCTCCTAGCTCTCTTCTGTCTCAGTTATGGATATCAAAGCATGCAAGACTCACAATCTACTCCTGCTGCTCTTTCAGCTTCTCAGTTCTGCCTTGCCAGTATCAATCCAACCAAAAACACCAAAAATATCACCCCCAAAGACAAGGCTGTTTCAACTTCCATACCTAGTATTACACACTTGCAATACTCTTTGACCACATCACCATCCCTCCCATAGATATATACAACCTTCATCCCCAGATTTTTGGGGGAATTTGGGGAAAAGGCAACTAGGGTGTGCAGCCTCTGAACTGAAGGCTCATGAGTGTGGAAGGGACCATTATTAGTGGCAGCAGACACATTAGCATGAGTAATAGTGGATATAGCTCTATATCTATAGAGCTCTATAGCTCTATAGTGGATATAACTTATAGCTCTTAGGCCAGCTGAGCCAATCTGAATGTGACAAAGTCTAAAAGAAACAAAATAAGAAGCCATGCAGGTTAGCCCCCAAGGGGAACCACAGTATGAAATGATCGTGCATGAGTAAAAGAAAGCAAAGCATGATGGGATGAGTGTTTTATTTTGTACTGAACCCATGCACTCCAATATGGACAAATTAGATGCCACAAAAAAAAAAAAAAAAAAAAAAAAAAAAAAAAAAAAAAAAAAAAAAAAAGGAATCAATTTAGGACGAACACTGGCAAGTCTAATTTGTCCTTTGAGATTTTACTCAGAAACCTGAGTAAATAGCCATCCCCAATTTCCCCAAGACATTATCAGTTGCTCCTACTGCAACGCCTTTTGTATTCACCTCTTGGCACCAAAGAGTATATAAAAAACACTGTTTAAAGTTCACCTTTACTACACTGAACTCCATCTCAAAGGACCCCTTTCTAATTTATCTTTTCCTACCCAAAAGATGTGGCAGATCACACATAGATTACCCACAATAAATATAATAGATGAAAACAAATCAAAGAGTAATATTTTTTCCCAAGAGAAATTCTGAGGTGAGAGGGAAGCTCTCACCTTTCCTGGTGGAAGACCTCTTTTATCTCAATGAGATTCAAGATGGAAAGTCTACAGAAAGGCAAAGCCAGCTTTGGAGAGTTGACAGAAGACCTGATGTTATGCACTATGGGAAACTAGATGAGGAGTTAACAATGAATGCATCAGTAAAAGGTTTGCTAATATTAAGGTTCCACAGAGTTCTCATGATTCTTGTTCATCTGGGTGCACAGGAAAGCCTTTTGGAGCCCAATTATGATTTTCAAAGTTTCTAAATTACTTCTAAAAGCTCTACTTTATCCCACACTTGCTGAGGGTTGGGATGGAGCTTAGGGGTAATGAAGGTAAGAAGGGTGGGGAAATCCAGGTAAGAGCAAACAAGTCTCAAGGCTGAAAGGAAGCACAAAATAACGACAAGGAAAGAAAAAAAAAAGATCATCAATTATAGCACTTCCTCCTTGTAGAGACTGTCTTCAGGTCTCCTTACCATCCTGTTAGTTGACCAGACGTCAACACACTGACACAGTGAAGTCTGTTCCAGCCCCTGTTAGAACCAATTATTCCCCTGTCCCAGAAACAATCTTGTCCACCCAGTATTTAGTGAAACTATTTCTCTCCTCACCCTGGTAATGAGGTCTGAGTCTCCATTAGCTTTAAGACATTCGTGGATAAATTATTCATGATTTTTATTGGTGAGTTCAAAGCTAGACCTTCCATAGCGCTCTAGGCAAAGTGTAAATTTGTGGACTGAAGTAAAGTTAAACTTTTATGAACAAGGTCAGCAATGTACAAAAAGACAGAATGTCTCCCAGGACAGAGGCACAGAGTTCAGTGCTTGACAGGAGCCTAAAGCAAAACCATTAAAATTTTGTTTTTAAATGTCAACACAAGACAGGCTGTTAGCATCAAAAGAGAAAAATGGGAGTCTGCATAGTGTAACTTAGATGATTTTACCCATCAACATATGCAAGAGACACAGAAGCTGGAGGTCAGCAGAACTCCATGAACTGTGTCCTGGCTACGGCCACACTTTGCACTGGATGCAACATTTCCAGTACCATTTCTCTCCCTTCTAATTCCTAACACGGAAGTCAGTCTTTGACTATGAATACACCAAAGAGTAATAACCCCACTACTAGTTAATAAATTATCACACTGAGCACATACACCAACACTAATCTTCAGCGTACAATTCCCTCCAATGCTACTTCTCATTATAAACATTTTTAACAAACTTGATTGCTCTACCCATTGGTGTCTTACAATTTGGAGAATCAAATCTGCTCAGGGTGTAATTTAAAAGTAGAATTTCCGGTCCCACACGTAAGAAATCTAGAATCATGTTTCCACCAAGGAGTATTTGAATTTCCCTGAGTCTGTTAAAGCTACATGTAACAAAATCATATTGTTTGGAAACTCATTATGCTGATGTTTCTCATTTTCATTTAATACTTATTTAACATTTCCTTTGCGCCAGTTCCTGTCCAATTAACTCAATAGTCATTAACTCAGGGCATTTCTTACTATTACAGATGGGATTCTGTAGATAGGTTCTGCTATTATCTCCATTTTACAGATGAGAAAACAGAGAGGCTCAAAAGATTAAATAATTTCACCACAGTTAACAGAGCAAGGATTCAAACCCACGTAACCTAGCTTCAGTATATGCTAGTTACCACCATCAAGCTGTTTCTCATGGGAACCATGCTGCATTTAGAACTTTTAAAAAGACCTTTAGGCCCAAAGTCATTATTTTAGATGTCTCTCCATTTAACATTTTACAAGGGTGTAAAACATAAACTCATTATTCTTCACTGTCAGATACAAAAGAATCTCTTACCAGTTATCTCTGTTATCACAGAAAAGAATATCGGTGAAAAATGACACAGGTTTAGATGATTTAAAGCTGAGGTGGCAGGTGAGCTGAGCATTTATTCCACTGGAAGACCCTGTGATGACACAGCCTTTTGGAAACGTTACAGAAAGAGGTTGAGCCTCATCACCATCAAGAAGGCTCACTGTGGGAATCTGGGCATCTAAAGTGGAATCTCTGTTTAAAATTAAAAAAAAAAAAAAAAAAATAGCTCAAAATCCAAGCAAGTCACTGGATGTAAATGTGTCTCCCTCTGTTTATTGAACCATCCAAACAATTAAACAAGTATTTAAAATAATATGCCCAATTATTAAAGATGTTTTGCATCATCTCTTACGTTCTGGTCCCAATATAATTAAGATGGATAATACATTAAATTGACCACATAAGATGATCCAAAGTTCCTTTTGTCCTCTAAGAACTAAAATAGAGGATTAAGACACCTGATTAAATACAATGTGCTTTTATCGATAGCCATGATATAAACAGTATTGCCCTTAAATATATCCTTATAGAAATTTACCAAAAATTACCACTTTGACAGCTAATGCTTTAATGAATATGGACTAAATATAATATTAAAAGATGCATAAACACATATAATTTTTAATGTGGATACTATTAAGCACTTGTATACATATACTATGAATATTTTCTCATCATTACTAAAAATTCCACTTAACGTTCTTCACACATTTCATTATATACCTATAATTCATTTAAACAATCTAAAATGTTTATGATTTCTAATAACACAGTATGTAGTATACACTTTTAAATATAATACTTGAGCAACGCCTGGGTGGCTCAGTTAGTTAAGCATCCGATTCTTGTTTTTGGCTAAGGTCATGATCTCACAGTTCTAGAGAAAGAGCCTCGCATTGGGCTCTGCACTGACAGCACAGAACCTGCTTGGGATTCTCTCTCTCCCTTTCTTTCTGTCCCTCCCCTGCTCTCTATCTCTCTCAAAATAAATAAAATTTAACAATAAATAAATACTGGATAACTTTTAGTGCTCAATAAATATTTAACCATATTACTCAAAATTTTATTGTATATGTAGGCTCCTATAGCAAATAAGAAGTATTACTAAATGGGAATCATATTTCCCTAATATGTTAATTAGAATGAAGATTATTCAGCTAATTAACTTTAAAAAGTAAAGAAAGATCCCAACTTAAATTACTCAAGCTGATCGGGTTCACTAGGTAAAAAATTAAAAATGTAATTTACAAATCAGGTTTAAATCCAATTCTGTTGTTAATTAGCTACATGTCACTGGATAAGTCATTAATGCTGTTGATTTGACCGTTCATACAATGAGGAGACTGGGTTATATCATCTCTAAAGTCCCTGTTACATGTTCATTTCATTATATCATATTTTTCAAGATTCAACTTTTGACTTGAGATCATTTTTAAATTTGTTTTTAATATTCATTTATTTTTGAGAGAGAAACAGAGAGACAGAGTGCAATTGAGGGAGGAATAGAGAAAGAGGGAGACACAGAATCTGAAGCTGGCTCAAGGCCCTGAGCTGTCAGCGCAAAGTTTGAGTTCGAGCCCCACATCATCAGTCTCTGTGCTGACAGCTCAGAGCCTTGAGCCGGCTTTGGATTCTGTGTCTCCCTCTCTGCCTTTGCCCCTTCCCTGCTCACACACACACTCTTTCTCTCAAAAATAAATAAACATTAAAAATAATTTTAATAAAAAGAGACTGAACTAGAGAAGCGCTGAGGTACATACAAGACCTAGACGTTTATGAAAATAATGCTTATAGGCAATTCACAATGGTGCACAATTCCTCACAATTTACATAATTTTAACATGTCAACTAGCTAATCTTTATTTCTTTATAGATAGGTGTATATTTCTAAGTAGAAGTTTGTTTGGCTTTCTTTTTTTGTTGCTTTATTTGAAGGATATCAACATACATAGTCTTGCTTGACTTAAAAAAAAATTATCTCAATATTTTGTTCCTAAGATTCCTAACATAGTTGTCTCATTAGCTGAAGTTCATCCACTTCACAGCTATAGCTATATTCATGTACACATATATAACAAATTATTATCCTTTTACCTGTCACAGGACATTAGTGCAGTTCCCAGATTTTGCTATTCTGAATAATACTACTATGAACAAAGTCAAACATATAGTACACAAGTGCAAGAGGTTTTCTTGCATACACTATCAAGTGCAATTGCTGGGCTGTGAAATATGCAGATTAAACACTTTGCAGATTATTATCCAGTGTGGTCCTAACTCATTGACACTGTAACTGGGACCTGACTTCTTAATGTTTACCTACCTTTAACAGGCAAAATGCTTATCTTATTGTAGTCTCTAATTTTCATTTCCAAATTTACAAAAAGGTCAATTATATGTTTTCAGATGTTCATTATCTACTTAGGAATCTTCTTCTGTGAAGTACTTATCAAAGTTTTTTGGCAACATTTCTATTGAGTGATTTGATTTTTTTTTTAATTTTTTTTAATGTTTATTTTCATGAGAGAGAGACAGAGACAGAGCACAAGCAGGGGAGGTGCAGAGAGAGAGGGAGACACAGAATCCAAAGCAGGCTCCAGGCTCTGAGCTGTCAGCACAGAGCCCAATGTGGGCCTCGAGCTCACAAACTGTGAGATCATGACCTGAGCCGAAGTCAGAAGCTTAACCAACTGAGCCACCCAGGCATCCCTGGTGATTTGGTATTGTTCTAATTTTTATCATTTACTTTTTTATTAGCATGAATTTAAGTCTTGCAAGAAATCCTTCTCTACCTACAAATGTTAAAATTGTTTTCCAAAATATTTTCTTTAATTTTTCCTTAAATGTGAAATTTAAGACTTTACTCCATTTGTAATGGATCTTTTTGTATTATGTAAGACAGGAATCCAATTTGAAATATTCCACACAAACAATCAATTGTTCCAGTACCATTTACTGAATAGTAACTTATTTTCTTCCAAGATCTATAATACTATTTATGTCAAATATTCAGTATCTATTCATGTATGGGCTTTCTCCAAGTCTCTTTTTTCTATGCCTTTGGTCATTTTATCTATCACTACACAACTATCATATTGGTTTAGTCTTGATATTTTATAAGGCAAGTCCTTATTCTTCTGGAGTGGTTTGGCTATTCTAGACCCTTGATTCTTCCATGTAAAATTTAGAATTTTCCTTGTTAATCTCCATGAAAAATTTTATTTAAATTTTTATTGCAGTTGCATGAAATATGTAAATTGATTTGTGAAGAAATGTCTTTTTTACAATACTGAATACTCCAAGTCATGAATATGGTGTAAATCTTCATTTACTTATGAGTTCTTTGACTTAAGTTTTATAATTTTCTCTATATAGTTCCATATAGTTCTTCCACATCTTTTGTTTGATTTATTCCTATTATTGTTAATTTTTAATGTTTTTATAAACAGTAATTTTAGAGTTCCACATCGTAAATGTTGTATGCTGAAATGCCATGTATTTTATTATTGGACTTACATTTGTCTATTTTGATAAATGACCTTCACAGCTTTATCTAATCTACAGATAGTGACAGTGCTTATGTACCTACTCTTACATATTTCATTTCACTTAACTCCCTGGATGAACTAGGTTTTTCACAAAAATGTGTTAGGGAGGCAGTGATTACAGCCATCCTTGTCTTTTCTTTTTTACTCAAAGGGAATTGACTTATGTTCCAGTATCCAAGATAATACCTCTTCTAGATTCATGATAGAAAATTTCAACAATTTAAAGAATATCTCTTTTATTCCTGATTAAGAATTTTATCATGAATGGTACTGTAATTTTATCAAATGCTTTTTTCTTCTGCATCTATGGAAATAATCATATCATTATTCTCTTTAATTCGTAAATGTGGCAGATGAAATAAAAAGGTATTTTAGATTTTTTAACATTAGGCAAATCTTACAATACTGGGATATACCCACATTGGTCATGATTTATTAATATATTTGTATAAGTAATAAATAATATATATAATTTAATTCATTGAGGATTATTGCATCTGTAGTCATAAGAGAGATTGGCCTATAATTTATCTTTCTCAAACTGACATTCTTTGATTTTATAATAAAAATTTCTGACTTCATAAAACAAATTAGACCACACTATTTTTCTATTCTATAAAAGAATTTCTATAAGGTTTGAGATACCAGTTTCTTGCAAGTTGAGTAAAACTAGCCTGTAAAAAAATCAGAAGATGGCATTTTCCTTCTAAAATGTTAAGTATTAACTCAAAGACTTTCTGTTTATTCTCAGTATGGTTTTAGTAAATTATATTATTTCTACAAATTTCCCATTTAAGTTTTCAAATGTATTGGAATAAATTTCTTCATAGTATTTTAATTTTCTCATTTTTCTCCAATGCCTATATGATTATATCCCATTATTTTTAAAGTTTATATATTTTGAGACAGAGAGAGAGAAAATACATGTGCATGCAAGTGGGGAAGGGGCAGAGAGAAAGAGGGAGAGAGAGAATCCCAAGCAGGCTCCACATTCTCAGTGCAGAGCCCAAGGCAGGGCTCGAACTAATGAACTGTGAGATCATGACCTGAGCTGAAATCAAGAGTCTGACACTTTAATTGACTGAGCCATCAGGCACCCCATATGCATCATTATTCTTAATATTATGTAGTTGTACCTTCTCTCTTTTTGTTCCTCCTCAATGTCACTGCACCAGTATCCATTGTATTAGTTCTTCAAAGAACCAACTTTTGGTTTCAGTAAACCAATCTTCTAATATTTGTTTCCTATTCCTTTAATTTCTACTCTTTTTCATTTTATCTACATTCTACATTCCTTGGATTTAATCTATTATTCTTATTCTTAAGTTACTGAATAGTTGAAACTTCTAATCATTTTTAATATACTATCAGCATTTAAGACTACACATTTCGATTCTGGGAGGAAGATGGCAGTGTAGGAGGATGCTGGGCTCACCGCATCCTGCTG